CGCCGCCGCCCCGCAGCAGGGGCTCGCGCCGCCCGCCCGGCGCCACTACAGCGAGGCCGTGGCCGACCGCGAGGACGACCCCAACTTCTTCAAGATGGTGGAGGGCTTCTTTGACCGCGGCGCCAGCATCGTGGAGGACAAGCTGGTGGAGGACCTGAAGACCCGAGAGAGCGAGGAGCAGAAGCGGAACCGGGTGCGCGGCATCCTGCGGATCATCAAGCCCTGCAACCATGTTCTGAGCCTCTCCTTCCCCATCCGGCGCGACAACGGCTCCTGGGAGGTCATCGAGGGCTACCGGGCCCAGCACAGCCAGCACCGCACGCCCTGCAAAGGAGGTGAGCGCCGGCCGGCCCCATCCCGCCCTTCCTCCCCCGCGGGGCACTGCTCGGGCCTCCCCGGCTCGGGCCGGCGGTGTCCCCCCCCCCCGTGAAGACCCGAGAGAGCGAGGAGCAGAAGCGGAACCGGGTGCGCGGCATCCTGCGGATCATCAAGCCCTGCAACCATGTTCTGAGCCTCTCCTTCCCCATCCGGCGCGACAACGGCTCCTGGGAGGTCATCGAGGGCTACCGGGCCCAGCACAGCCAGCACCGCACGCCCTGCAAAGGAGGTGAGCGCCGGCCGGCCCCATCCCGCCCTTCCTCCCCCGCGGGGCACTGCTCGGGCCTCCCCGGCTCGGGCCGGCGGTGTCCCCCTCCCACGCCCTCTGTCCGGCCCACCCAGCTTCGGGTGTGGCAGGCTCTGTGGATAGTAATTTTTCCGCCTTAAAACCACCACGTAGTTGGCCCGCCCTGTTCGCCCGCGAGCCATCACCCGGGCCTCTCCGTTTGTTGATGCTAGATGCAGGACAGACGCTGCACGGGTCTCCTGTTGGTCCCAATGTCTGTGTTACACAGGGTGGGTCCTGCCGAAGTGCACTTCTGGAAGAGGGAATGACCGGCCTGTCTGATTTCTGCCTCGCGAGTTTTCATGGGCATCTGCGACTTTCCCCCAAATGCAAACAATGAAATAAGTTACTTTCTGATTATTTTTCACTCCTTTTACAACAGTGACATAGGAACATAGAAAATGACCTTCCTTCTAGGCTTAAAATCTAGACAATTTTGTTAAACAAAGGAATTTGCTAATCACAAGTTAATCTTTTAAGTTATTTTCCCACTCTGACAGCTTCTGTTTTGTACCCCCCAAAATTAAAACACGAGCAGCGTAACATCTCTGACAAACACCGGGCGTCCTGACAATAAATCTAAAGGGCCTGCAGAATGGTCTACCGGCCAATGGAATGAAATAGCCCTGGGGGTGTGTACTGGTCCTGGCTAGCACCAGATTTGAGCTTCAGAAAAAAAGAAAGGAGTTGAGTCAGTTACAATTTGGTAGTCACCTAGTTGTTCTGTAATTTAAATTTTTGAATGTCCGTAGATTTAGCTTGTGTAGTCACATTTCTTCGAGCAAATAAAAGCTGTTTCCCTTTTCCCCCCAGGACATGGCACAACATTTTTTTAACGGGGCTTAAAAGTATCCTAAAATAGAAAGGGCAAAACCACTTTTTTCTATTGTAGAAAAAAATATATATATGTATGTATGTATGTATGTATGTGTGAATGTGTGTGTGGCATAAAGGACCACCGAGAGGTGAAGAATCTTGGCTGGAGGTGAATTGGCCGATAAGCACGGAGGATGTTGGGCTAGACCTTTTGTCTCCCTAAATCTGGTCTGGTGCTCTTTCTATTATGCCAGCTGACTTCTAAGAATATTTTTTAAAAATCTTCTATCAGAAAAACGATCTGTGCTGGTCTTCCCAGGAGAAGAAACAAAGATTGCTTCAACGGGTTTAATAATTTACTGACTTTGCATTGACTCCACCCACTTTGCGGACTTAACGTTGGAACTTTATTATCCTCTAGCCCTCTAAAACCAGTGCTTGAACCACTTTGACCTCTAATTTCCCTTCCAGCTCCAAACTTGTATAAAGTGTACACAGTCAGTCTCCTGCATTGCCTTCCTTCTCACCACTTCCCTATTCTCCAAACCAGAAGTAAAAGTTCAGCCTCCCAAGAAAAGCAAACAAAGATGTTGGAGGAAGGGACAACATACAGCAAAATTAAATTGCACTGTTTCTTTGAAGTAGACATCAAGTTTATTTTACTGTCTTGTCGGCAGCATTTTCCAGTTCCTTAAAAGGTACATAAATCAGTATGTTTGTTCTTCTGCAGGATGTGATTTGGTCTCTCTATGCTTCTGTTCATCAGATGCCACGCCCTCTCCTATCTTTATAAGTCAGACCTCCATAAAGTCACTAAAGCCATATCAGCTCTTTCCCTCTTGTTGCCACAGCAGTTTTATTGACCCTTAAAAAAAAAAATTTGAACCTAGTAACAAATTGCATCAGCCACACTAAAGTACTGTTATTGTAGCACTTGCTTGTGCTGGAGTGTAAGATACAATTCTCTGTTCTGTTTATACCATTTACAAGAAGGCATGCTGCTGAGAGCACTATTAATTCCCCGCATATAAACGTAGAGAAACTGAAATGTAACTAGTAAACAATAAGCATTGCAAGATGGTACAACATGAAAGAAAATTGGCCTCTATGAAGTGATCAATTAATTAAGGAATTTGGAAGACTTTATGGAGTGAATAGGGTTGGGGAGGATTATGTAGCTATAAAAGCCCTTAAAAATATTTTAGTGTGCTTAAGTTAACAACCAGTATGTTAAATAGATGATCAGGAAAATTTGGACACTTTCATGCTTTGCTTTCAAGACACCCCAGGATCTTCCTACCCATTTGTCACCCTGATTGCAGAGAATGTGCATTCTAAAAGGGGCTTATTGTCAGTGGGGGTTTTTTCCACTTAAACATTTAAAGCATTTTTTACTTATAAGAAGGTTGATAACGTTCTTGGTCCCACCCTGGTCTTAGAAATACAAAATATAGGGCCGGCCCGTGGCTCACTCAGGAGAGTGTGGTGCTGGTAACACCAAGGCCATGAGTTCGGATCCCATATAGGGATGGCCGGTTTGCTCACTTCGGAGAGCGTGGTGCTGACAACACCAAGTCAAGGGTTAAGATCTCCTTATTGGTCATCTTTAAAAAAAAAAAGAAATGCAAAATATATTAGGTAATTGAGATGAAAAATATTTTGGATAATCCCTATGAACTTAAGGAAGTCTTTCCCTCTTCAACATATTTTAGTACACTGTTCACTTCCTCTCCCCTCACTAAACTGTTCTCTCCCTCTGTTCTTTGAAAAAAAAAAACTTCATTTGGGGCCGGCCCGTGGCTCACTCGGTAGAGTGCGGTGCTGATAACACCAAGGCCCCGGGTTCGGATCCCACATAGGGATGGCCTGTTCGCTCACTGGCTGAGCGTGGTGCTGACAACACCAAGTCAAGGGTTAAGATCCCCTTATTGGTCATCTTTAAAAAAAAAAAGAAATGCAAAATATATTAGGTAATTGAGATGAAAAATATTTTGGATAATCCCTATGAACTTAAGGAAGTCTTTCCCTCTTCAACATATTTTAGTACACTGTTCACTTCCTCTCCCCTCACTAAACTGTTCTCTCCCTCTGTTCTTTGAAAAAAAAAAACTTCATTTGGGGCCGGCCCGTGGCTCACTCGGTAGAGTGCGGTGCTGATAACACCAAGGCCCCGGGTTCGGATCCCACATAGGGATGGCCTGTTCGCTCACTGGCTGAGCGTGGTGCTGACAACACCAAGTCAAGGGTTAAGATCCCCTTACCGGTCATCTTTAAAAAAAAAAAGAAAAGAAAAAAAACTTCATTTGCCCCTCTTCATCCTTTTCCCAACTCTCAGCGTTCTATATCTAATCTTTCCTCAAGAATGATCTTATGCCTTAGTTTTCTGAAATTAAATCCTCAAGGTTGAAGCAAAATAATCTAAGTATAATCTCTATAAGGGAAACAGGTGGTTTTAAGACTTGGCGGTAGCTGATGTGTACTTTATTCCAAGTAAATATTTAATAACACATACTGTTTTTGTGCTTTTCTTCCCCCGCATACCACATTTAACTGAGGCCGTTAGATTTGCCTCTGTTAAGGATTTGCAAGACAGTATGCTATAGGCTGTGCAGGGGAGTTTAAGTGAGGTCTTAAATTATTTTCAGGGAAGGTGCATATTGTAGGAATAAGTGACTGATTTGAGACTCGTTCAGAGGTTCTGGTGTGTTTGAAAAACATCATCAGAGACTGTTCCTGTTAATTTTCTCAGAAAAAAATTCCCTTTATTTTGTTGACCATGGTTTTGCCTGAGACCAGTCTACCTTTTTAAAAGAAAATTTATCATTTAAAAGTCAGTTTTGGGGAAAAGTACAGGTTGATAGTAGCAGTTCATTGATGTAGGAGTCAATTTACTTTCTCTTCCAGCCTACCTCTCTTCCTGTTCATTGTCTTGATATTAAAACCATTAAGTCAAAATTCTCCATCACTGATTCTTTGTCCTAACATAGAACTTTCTAAAATTGTTATCATTTAAATATAGTTGCTGGGCTGTTAATGGATTCCTCTGATTACAAACTTTAGTATAAAAAATTGTATCCTATATTAACCCAGTGACATGTTTTTAAGAGCCAGAAGGCAAAAAGAAACAGTAGAAGGTAGATGGTCTTTGTTCTCGTATTCTGGTGACAGGATGCAAGGGAAGATGAGAGTACATTCAGCATTAAGTCCTTCTCAGCCTCTGGAACATCATTGTGTGGTGAGTGTGGTAGTGCTTTGGGAAAGACTGCAGAAAGTACTGGTACTGTATCTGAAAGTTCATTTAGAAGACAGGTAATTTGTGTGTCTTTTAGCCCTTAGCCCTAAGATAGTGGTTGTTTTTGATACTTTTTAGGTAAATATGGAACTGTTACCATTAAGGCTTTTTTATTTCATGGACGCCAACTGCCTCTTTTTTCCTGGAGTATACTAGAGAATGAAGACCTATAGTAATGATAGAGATTTATGCATCAGATTGTCATTCAGTCTTCCCGTCATTTGTGTGTGTGAATACATTTAGCAACTTTGTTTTGGCAGTACAAACCCCACGTGCAGAAAGACAAACACTGCTCACTCATACAAAGTGTATTTTGCAAGAAATGGGGCATCAAAAATTGGAAGATGAGCACCGGAATATATTAAACTCCAATAAAACTGGTAATATTTAAATTTTAAGTACAAGAAATAAAAATTGACCTTGAATTTTCTGGCTTATAGTGGGTAGAAATTGGATTTGCCACTGTTGAAAATAATTTAGATTGCTTAAGAAAATCATTTTTGTCCACTTATATTAAAGATACTAAGAGTTATGCATGAAACCAATAAAGACTAAAATGTTGA